ATTTATGATAGATTCTTTGCAGATTCTACTATTCATCTAAATTGCTCGTTAGAGACTCTAGAATTTCGGGAGATTGCGTAGTGGGTTACCACTCTCAAAATGAAACATGAAGAGTGTAATAATTTGGATAAGATAAATGGATCAGATCAGTTATAAGTCTTATGAGAGCTTATAAACAGTCGTAAATACAAATGAACGACCAAGACAATCCCAACTTTTGAGTCACTGCTTTAAACTCACACATTAGAATGACCCAAAGATTCACTTGGAGGTCGAGTTCTCAGTCCAGCACACGGATAGGTTGCCGATGCCAGATATAGTCTACAGTCACAAAGAGATACTTTATGAGCAGTTGGGATTTACGAGGCAGTTTACGTATCGTTATTTGGTTACTTTAAGATTTCTTTTGTTTGGATTCAAGGTATGATTGAGTTCTGGGATTCTGGTAGTAGTACATAATGGGTCTACCCTGAGGAGTTGATTGTCGCTGTATGGGACTTGCAAACAGTATCGGGACTTTCAATTTTTTGTCACTGATATAAGAAGTGAATTCCACTACGTTGCAAGCGTTTTCATAGACGACCCTCTAATGATGGTGAACGCCGGATCAAATTAGATTTGAAAATAGTATACCCTAAGCTTTTGAGTCATTGTTGTTTAGCTTATAGATCATCCTGGATATGCATGCGAAACCGAGTTCTGCATTATATTTATATATGAATTTAGATTTTTCTACGAGTGATTATCTATCAGATAGCTCTGCATAGGAGTGATTCATTTGGGTTGGGGTTACAGCACGCTGATTTTTATCAAAAAAGATATGTTAAGCCATCTTCACCGTTGACTTAACCTTTCTCAGCTATGTCAGGTATATGTGTGGAGCTATTTTTAGCAATAGTTTGGTTATTTATTTGTTTACCCTTACACTTCCCTCCAATAAGGGCCACGAGCGTTCACGTGTTTTGTTAGCTGCTAGCCAAGCTTTTATAGGGAGAGTGTTTGTCTTTGGCTCTAGTAGTGTTTGCCTAGATATACAGAGTTTTACAACTCATCTTGAAGTCTAGTTCTCTAGAGCTTCACGTATCACATGGTCCTAGCAATATTTATATGTGTGGATTCATATTCACATTCGTAGAGTTTTCTCATGCCTATAGTGTCCTCTCTATTTTCTGGAGAGAGGATTTTTTACATTTTTTTAGTTATCTCAAGTCCCGTCCACATTAGAACGAGAGAGGGTGCATTTGTTTTTATTCAGATCACACTTGGTCATAGATATATTTTATCTCGTTCACCAACTAGATATAGATCTCTTTCCAAACTACTTTCTTAGCATTGATAAGATTGATGGCACAGACTCCCTTGACAAATATGTTTTTCTCTCTAGAGCATGATTGTTGCAAGTGACTAAGTATTTTATCAGCTTACGACCTGGATGGTTATGTTACAGATATAGATGTTCAGTCACCTTATAAGGCTATCAGTCTACCAGAGGACTCATCTGTTTCGCTATTCTAAGGCTTTAGTTTATGACGGATTACTTCATATGTAGGGAGTCAGTGACGCTCACTTCATGGATTCAACACCCGTAGATGTCAAGTTTTGCATAGCTTCTAGATTATGAATTAATTTTTCAGGCTTGATACAAGATCTGGATTCATTGTAATTGCACCAGGTGGTCCCACAAGAGTGAGCTTTGCTTTCATGAAGCACGGTGCCCGTATGTATGAGTGTCAGGTGAGATTATTAGTTGTTTCTTGAGATCAAAGGTCCCGTCGCAATGTCCCACATGCCAGAAAAAACAGAGGTAAAGTTGTTATTATCATTTTTATTTTCTTTATCGGCAAAACTATATTCATATATTGCTCTCATAAAGTTTCATTTCTAGCTGTCTCTATTTAATCCTTTTTATGATGCAAATAAAAGAGAAGATGATCTCATAGTACAAGACGAGGTTGTCTCTTCGTCGATTAGAGTACAAGCTAAGGAGTCGCCTCCACCTTCTATTGATATTCCCTCAGCAGACAGACACATAAGGAGGTTTCTTCTGCTTTTGTGGATCAGGCGAATGACCATGTTCGTTTGCCATTTGTGGCACCAGAAGAGATTGCTTCTGATCTTGGAATATCAACTGATGTGGAGTTGTTATTTGATGAGTGTCACCTCCCTTGATTTATCTATCATGTCTAGTATACCTCTCTCATATAGCTCTTCGTTGGATGACCGTGCTCCTTTGCCCCTTGTACCACCAGAGGAGATTTCTTCTGATCTTAGGATATTAGCTGATGTGGAGTTGTTACTTGATGAGTCGATGCTGGGTTTCACCTCCCTTGATTTACCTATCATGCCTAATATACTTCTCCTAGATAGCTCTTCAGTGGATGCTACAAGATCGAGTTTAGATAATATCCTCTTATTTTATCTTAATATGTATATGTGCTTGCATTATAACATATTGATATTTAATGTTTCTCTCAAAATAGCACCAGTATGAGCAGATTATAAGTCTAACATTTGCTACAACGCCCTTCATTTATAAATCCTATGCAATGGGACATGCATGCGCCTTGACATTTTTTTGGAGACTGATATCTGAATGAGACTAAGAATCACCTGTCTTTGGAGAGTTTTATAGCAGACGCAAATGCAATGTTGGACTTCCTAGTACACTTTGGTTTGAGTGGGCACAAAGCTTACATATTAAGAGGTGGTATGCCGGTAGCCAGAGTTTTTAGTTTGCAGACTCAAGGATCTTACTATTACTCAGGTCAATTTCTTAATATCTGACCTTCATGAAAAGGTTATAAGATGTCGCGAGCCAGCTGACGTTGCACGGGATGAGTTGGAGAGGTGCTTGAAGCCCTCAAGAGATCTCTCCAACGCTCCTCTGATACTTCAGGCAAGATCGAGAGTTTGAGGACTCACATAATGCACCTTCTGGAAGAAATTAAAGACAATATGTCATGCAAAGTTAGCCTTCAGGTGGAGCACACAATAAAAGTACGGATAATTGAGAGGGAGCAGGAATGAGGAATGATACTAGATTTGTCACCGAGTCATATTAGTTTTCGAGTCATTCATGACTCAAGCACTAGAGGAGTTGTGGGTTGCTAAGACAGAATATCATGCTCTTACGGAGATCATGACACAGCTTCGAGCTCAGCAGTCTCATTTTTTGTAATATATGTTGTGCTTAGTTTGATTTGGTGTGCTCTGAGATTTTTACTTATTTATCATTTTATTAGTAAAATCTTCCCTTTCCTCTTTATTTTATTTGCCCCTTTTATTGACATTTAGTTTCAAACTTTTATTAAAAAATGTATGTTTGTGACAAAGTTTTTTTAGGCTTGTATTAGGTCGGTGACAAGAAAATAATCAATTCTGCACTTAGTGTTTTATCGGACTTGTTGACGATTGTATTTCTTTCATTCAGCCTTCAGCTTTGAATAAACTGTAGGATACCTCTTTCGGCCCCCAAGTTATTTGCTTTGGCAGGCTTGTTGAAGAAGAGTATTAATCTAATACGTGTCTTAAGCTTCATCAAACTTTTTAAAAGTAGTTTGGGATTATTTAATTTAAGCAAGACAGTGAGCTTAGCTTGAAGCTTTCTCCAGCAATGTTCATTTCTATGACCTTTAAACTAATCAAGAAAAATCTCGTTCACTTGAACTTATCAAGTCGAATAGGCTTGGAATTTGATAGTTTTAGTTATCAAACTAGCAAAATGGGGATTTCTCCACTACGACCATTTTTATGGTTTGTTTAGTGAAAAGAAGTGTCTGCGACTCCGCCATATTTGAGCTTATTGAGTCCAACCTTTTTGTCTCAGTTGAATCTTAGACTTGGACCACGACAACTTTGTCTTCTTCAAATTAATATGTTTCAGCTTATAGATATACGAACTTTCCTTTATCTGTTAACGCGTCAAAAAGACTACTGGGTTTGGATTACTTTGTCAAATTGACGAACATAAGAAAAAAAAATCTCTTTTTAATTATTCCATATTTAAATTAATTTGGAGAAGAAATAAGCATTTGTATTGGACATCATGCACAAATCACTATTGGATTTTATGTTGGAGAATGTTGAAGAGATACAACTTTCAAAAAAATTTTGAAGGACATAGAAGTCAATGTGTTCAAATATGATCGTAAAGTTGCACTGAACATAATGAGAAAGTTTAAAAAATGAATGGATCTTTTAAGGATTGGCATAACTTGGTTTGCCACCTTTTTTCACTCTTTCGATCACTCATAAACAAGAAGAGAAATTTAAGAAGGACAAAAAGATTTAAGGAGAACGCTTATTTCTGAAGCTTTAAGCAAACAAAATTTACTATTGATTACAAAGGAGAAAGGGTTATGTGACAATCCTTGCATCATCCTTTTAGAAGGAAATTCTTATGCATAAAAAGGTAAAATCCCATTTGAAGAAAGTGCTTCGCTTAGTAGATATATGATGCCTAAACTTTGGATAAGACATAGTTTAAGTTATAGCAATACTAACTTGAAATTTGAATGACGACTTGCTCTGTTTACATCTTAACTTGTTCATTTCACTTGATTTGTACATGTTGCTTATTTATTTGATGATTTCTTAATCTATTATTAACCCATTGTTTTTGTTTAATTATAATTTTTGCTCATGTTTTTGTAACTGTACAAGCATTAGAGAAATGAAATTTTCGTTCAATTTTTCACAATAATTCGGCTTAAAGATTCGCCAAACATCTCTGAGTCTAGTTTTTAACTTTTTTACAATTCAGTGATAGTCATCAAATTTCAACTTAACTCCCTCTACCTCCCGTCCCCTTTTTTACTAATCCATTATTACCTAGCAGTGAGAAAAACTGAAAGTAATCTTTCAATCTCCTCCAAAGGAAACGGGTATCCCAAATGTCCCAAAAGAGGACCCGCTTGTGATTTTGCGAACTAAATCACAAATGCCTCAACAAATCCCACAAAACGGAAGAAAAAAAAACGGATTAAAGCAAAAAACAATACCCGTCTTCGCTCATGACGCCATGGGGAAACTTCTGGCTGGGCGCCGCCAAGCTGTAATTGTAAAGATTGTTGCTGTAGATAGCGCTAAACTCGCATCGTCTCCCCTGCGCGAGTAGCGCAGCCAAGCAGAGAAAAAGCAAGCAATATACGAGAACCCTAGCCGCAAGGCGATCTGCCGTCGGCATAGCTGCAGTTTGCGGAGGAGGGCACGCAGGTCGAGGTTGTAGGAAATCTGAGAGGGAAGATGAAGAAAAGCGGAGGCCCGAGGGGTTAATTTGACCGTCAGATCCTAGTGAACTGATGTAGCCATGAATCCGTGTGCGACTCAGCGTGGATGTCTGTGACTTGCTTGGATTAACAAATTGTTTTGTTCTGGATAGAGCTGTTAAAACGGTTCGTTATTCGCGAACAGCTCATGTTCGACTCGTTAATTTTATTCGATAAGTTAACGAGTCAAACATGAACTAAGATGTGTTCGTTCGTGTTCGGCAAATAGAGCCGTTAAGACGGTTCGTTGTTCGCAAACAGCTCATGTTTGACTTGTTAATTTCGTTCGATAAGTTAACGATCCAAACACGAATTAAGATGTGTTCGTTCGTGTTCGGCTCGTTTTGGCTCAAAACACTACTCATCAAGTTAAGAATGTTATTATTGTCTTATGATGTTGTACAAACACCGACAGTAATTATTCATTTTTATTGTTAATAGTGCATGTTCAGTTTCTTGTTGTTTATATTTTAATAAACAACAATTCTGCAATTGTGTAGGTAGAAGAGCTTGACATGATTTGGGTTGTTCAAAGGACTCGTTGTTCGTGAACAGCTCATGTTCGGCTCGTTAGCTTAACAAGCCGAACACGAACACACTTTTTGAGCTCGAAATATAAACGAGCCGAACACGCGCTAAGGTTTGCTCGGCTCGCTCGTGTTCTGCTCGTTTACACCCCTAGTTCTAAATTTCGAGAAATTAAAATATCATTTTTTTAGAGTTGAATTGATTAGAATTGGACCTAAATTTTAGTTCAGTTGTAATTTTTGAGGAATCAAAACTAAAAATTTCTTTAATTAAAATTAATTTTGGTGGTCAATTTCAAAACTATGAAAGTGAAGAATATTTGAGAGGAAATTTGTCCTATTTGGATGAGTTAACGATCATGTATTATTTTGGCCTCATTTTTTGTCTCAACTTCATAATAAATAAATATATAACTAGTTAATGTATATTGAGTGAATTTCGAGGGAAATTTTATAAAGAGGTGAGAATGCAATAATCACTTATGTGAAATGCAACCTTAAGAATTCCACCGGATTAATTTTATTAAGTTATACGTGTGAAATCGATGAATTTAATATATATATATATATATATATATATAGTACTATTTATAAATTATGACTATACAGAGATATAAATATATAAGATATTGAGTTAATTAAATTAATTAAATTTTAATTAAACTTTAATATTCTTTAATTCTTGTGCACCCTCACTATTCACAATCAACATCCACGCGATATTTAGCTTTGAGTTTTGATCGAAATGTTGGTTTCTTTTCCAAATCCTTCGAATTCTTCTCTCGTACCTTGGTTTTGTAAGTTGTTGTGAGCTTATGAAATTGGTTCATGTAGTAGCGCGATCCAAGTGTGCGATACGGGAGTTGCAGCTCACAGTAGAGAGCTCTGGGGAGAAAATGGTGAGTATGAAACCTTCTTTCAAGCTAATTGAGTTATTAATTTCCTTCGCCACACTTCCATTTTGAGATTTAACATGAATCATGCATCTTTTTCATTTCCAATCACTTGAGTGGAGATGAGATTGTGTCAAAAGCAAAGAAGTTGATTTGTGGGTTTCTGTAAGGACTTCTAGCAAAATGTCAACAAGGTTAAGGGAGGAATAAAAGAAAAGAAGATGGAAGAAGTTTTGGTAGGATCGAAGAAGGTTAGTTATGCCGAGAAGTCTATTTGAGACAAGAAAGTTACTTTTGGGTTAAATTGTTTAATGAGCCAAGATATTATTACATCCTAAGATATTTACAAATTTTAGTTTATTTACCTGGCTCAGTGAGCTTGAGGCAAGCTTCTAGAAACTAGTCGTAGGATGGCTCCGTAAATTTCAGGTACAATAATCTTATGTTAAATTAAGAAGAATAATTTGATTAACAAAAATTGTTTAAATCTTAAAGTTTGATTTTTGTTCATTGGTTATTAATATCAATATAAAGGCTATAGCGATGTCAACTAATTATTGAAGATTAAGAATCTAGCATAGCAACTAAGGTGAGTAATTATATTTCTAAGTTTTAATAATCTTCTTTATTTCAAAATGTGACTCCATGTATGCTCCAGTTTAGTTAAATTTTTAGTATTGTTAGACATGAAAGATATGCATGATAGAAAAGATTGCAAGATATACATGAGATACAAGATATTTATGAAAAAACATGATATGAAAGATATGCATGAGATGCAAAATAGGCATGATAGGAAAGATATGCATGATATAAGAAAAATGCATAAGATAAAAGATGTGAATGGCATCAAAGACATGTATGATAAATAGTTTCACAATAGACTAAATATTCATGTTAATAGATGAATGCAAAGTCTCAGAAGAATGCATGTTATGAAGAATGAAATAACTTCTATATGAATGTTTATACGTGTTTGTTTAGATGAGGTGTTCCCCTTCTAATGGTACAAGTAGGGGACACTAGTGTACCCACGCACATTGAGGTTTTTCTACCACCCCAAAAAATTATGATGGTTAGATCACAACAATTGTGTCAACGGGATAATATCGGTCATGATGAGTAGATAGAGTTTGTCACCCTAAACAATTGTGATGTTTACATCACTAGCAGTTGTGTTGATATGATAATATTAGCCAATGGTAGATAAGAGTTTTTCCACCAAGATAATTGTGATGTTTAGATCACTGACCGCTATGCCGACGGAAAAATATTACTAGATATGGGTTAGTTTTTATTGACGGTGATCCTCAAGCAAACAAATGTATATGTAAAGAATATAAAAGTAAAAGCAAAATTAAAGTAAATGTATGTAGATGATTAAAGTATTTTCATTGACTAAAGTTCATTGATAAATACATTAGTATATTGAAATACTTCTTATATAAATCTGAAAGATTAACATATTCCAAGATTTCTTATAGTGATTTGAAAGACCAACATACATATTGATTTCATTTCTTAGGTTACTATAGTTTAGCAGTGTAATTACTCATAGATTATCTTTAGATAACCCATTATATTTTTTTAATATATTTTTAGGCTTTAAGTTTTTGAATAAGATTAAAAGAAGATGAGCAAAAGGGTATATGAGGCGAGAACAACAACCGAAAATGTACAATTTTTTTGTTAATGAAATTGTTTTCTTTAGTGACGCTTTCATGAAAATTTGATTATTAAATTGTTTGTGATAGAAATAAAATTGTAGAGAATTATTTTCCTCCGTCTAATTGTATGTTCTCTTAGTTAATTTCAAGTTGGGCTATGAAAAAAATGATATCAGAGCGAGAGATATAGATTAAATAATATGAATGTTAGAGAAAGAGCCCATAGAATGATTCAATCAAGTTATAAATAGAAGAAAAAAATTTAAATGAGCCTTATTAAATTAAAATTTTGTTATTTTAGAATTATCAATGATCTTGAGGAAGAGCCTATAGATGATAATCTAGAATTAATTTACCCCTCAGTGCTAGTGCATTTTCTGATATGATGAATGTTGACCATGTTGATTAATAATTTTCAATCTCAATCTAGAAGCAGTGGATGGGCACCAATGGATAAGTACTTGAAGTTCTCTCAAGATATGAGATCAACTTTATATTTTTGAGTATGAGGGCCAGCAGAAGCTGATAACTTGCCATTAAGAGTAGAGAAAACTATTAATTGGTTGTCATGTCCATCAAAGACGAGATCTAACCTTGCTACATTTGATTTTGAGGGGGAAGTTAAGAGATGATGACAATGTCAGATGAAGAATTTTGGAGGCAGAATCAGCCACTTGGTGCAGTGGGATAAGTTTGACAGAACCTTTAAAGATTGGTTTTACCACTGTCGAAATAAGTTCGACAGAACCTTTAAAGATTGGTTTTACCACTGTCGACTAGGAGATATATGCATAATAAATTTGTTAGTTTGGTGCAAGGAGACCAATCAGTTATGCAATAAGAAGTAGAGTTCACTATTTTGATGAGGTATACACCACAACTCATTCCAAAAGCAGGAGAGAAATGCTATAGATTTCATTTTGGATTGAAGAATTCAATTAGGCAACCACTAGTGTCACTTGAGATTAAAAACTATTCAGTAATAATGGAAAGGACTAGGCAGGTGGAGATTGACTTTCAACAAACTCAAAAGCGTAGAGATTTGCAAAAGAGGAAGGGTTTGAAAGAATTGACACCAACACTTCATTTAGGAGAAGGAAAGTCTATTAGGGAGAAGATAAAGTCCTGGATTGGAGGAGTTATTAGCCAGGCTGGTAGTAGTGCTATATGGCGTGGTGATTTTTTTTTTAGGTTGAAGGTGTGTTATTTATGTAGATAGCCTGGACATTAGAATAGAAATTGCCTTAATTCTATCTAGAGATCCACATCAGATGCTAACCCAAGAAAGGATTCAACTCAGAGGAATTATTAGGAAGGTTCTACTTTTACAAGTGGCCAACAAAGGATAACAGAAGGTGACACCATGATTCGTAGTGAGCTACCAAGTTAGAACATTCTCCCAAGGGTTTATTCCTTAACTCATCAGGAACTGGAAGAGTTTGTTGCCACTGATACCGATGCATAAAGTTTGATATGTTTTTGTCATCATTTAACAAGATACAAACTTTCATAATTACTTTATGTTTCATTATATATATATATATTTGAGGACAAAATTTTATGAGGGGAGATTTTAATAACCAGTTTTATAAATTGCATCTCTCAAATTTCAACTGAATTAATTTTATTAAATTTTATGAGTCTAATCGATCAATTCGATATATAACACTATTTGTAAATTATGAATGGAATGAGAGCATAAAATTTATAAGATATTGAGCTAAAATTTAATATCACTTAATTATTATTTAATTATCTCACACCCACACTAGTCACAACTGACATACACACAATATTTAGCTTTAGGTCTCAATCAAAAGGCTGGTTTCCTTTCCAGAGGACACCCATCCCTTGGTTCCAAACATAAGCATTTTCAAATCTTAAATATTTGTGTCTTAAGTGGGATGTAAGTCCTTATCTTTTCCTGTTGAACACAAACATTTAAAATGTTAATTTTTT